CCATCACCCTTTTCTGTTCTTTCTGGGCCTGGTCCAGTGGCCCTGGAAGAACAATGAAATATCATGGGGAGAGCTAGAGAGACAATTCAAAACAGAAGTTTGCCTCTTTGGATTTCATGTCTTAAAGCCCAAAGACAGGAGTGTATGGGGGAAGTATATAGAGATGCCTTAATATATGAGACACAGATTTTCAGCAAATGGGAGAATAAAATTAATGCAAATGATAGAACTTGGCATTAATAATGTTATCCTTTCATACTTGGCTGAATACATACTTCATTTATCCAAGAAGCCATATAAAATATTACACTGAAAGAAATTTGATTTACAATACAGACTTACTGAGTTCCACATACATATCTATAAAACAGTCCCTTCTTTTTCCCCCAAAAAAATTCATGAATTTGGTGCCTATACATTGTGCTAAACTGATTACCAAAAGGTGGGTTTCGTATGTAAAGAAGTAATTTACCTATTTGCATCAAGAAATTTTCTTCTCTTCCTTTCCTCTCTCTCCCAAGTGACTGCTGCTTTAAATACCCAGGTACTGGGGCCAGCAGATGGAGTGATGATTAAGGTGGATTAAGGTGCTGGACTCCCATATGGCCCACCACTGTTTTGCTCCAGACTGGGTGGCTTGCAAATCACACCAGGCATGTGTGCATGCATGCCCAAAATCCCAAGAAGAGAATGGAGAAGAAGGGTTTACAGCCTGGCTGTGCTCCCTTGGGGCAGTGGCAGGGGAAGGCGGTAGTGACTTCCCACTTTTCCTCTCTCTGTGTCTCTCTGTCTCTCTTTGGTGAGCACACATGCCCTTTGGCAAAAACCCTAAACAAACAAACAAAAAACAGGTAGTTGAAGGAAAGTTGTAATATTTTACCATCTAGAAACTATCGTGTTCAGTCTCCTTTCAGTGCTTAACTCGCTGGTGAACATACATTAGGCTTGCAGAAATAATTGCCTGCTCAATGACTGGTTATTGATGGGAAGATTTTTAGAAAGTAAGACCCAGTACTCCCAACCTTGCCCTTCGCTTCCATTAGAGCAGGTTCTGGATTGTTTCTCAGTGTGCTTCTCACAGTGGAGAATTTGGAGCAACCTGGCTCTTGCCTAGTACCTCTGGAGACCAGTGTTATTCAGTTGGCCTTAAGGTAGGTTTAGGGAATGCCAAGGAATTGGACAAAGTTTTTCCATAATTACATTCCCTCCACAGAACTTTTCTCCTGCCAGGGAGCTCATCTCAGAATTGAACTCAAATGATAAAGTCAGTGTATATAATAAGTAAGCAAAATGTAGATGACTCCTAGCTTGTTTATAAAAAGAGAGGTGTAACTATAAGTGGAAATGGAGGTTGGAATCTGCCATGTCAATTATTAGCTGTGTAACACTAGTCAAATAATTGAACTTCTCTGGCCTCTTGATTCTTCACCTGTAAAGTAGTATCAATGATACTACCGAATTACACAACTGAATTGATACTATTGAATTATACAATTATCATGCGATTAAATGAATATGTACCATCAGTCAGAGATAGGACTTGGTAAGTCTGTGAACCAGCATCAAAGATACCAAATTGTAGAAAACATACAAACATGTTGTTATAACTGACAGAGGCAGCGTGGTACTTACAGCAATAGAAAAATACAGTATTTGGATTTTGAGAAGATCTTGATTCTGATGACAGGTTGTTTATAATAAAGGTATCAGAATGTCTTGAATGAGGCTAGTTTACCTAAGTCCAGATCAAATGAAGAAAAGGGAGACCCATCAAGATCATTATCTTTACAACTTGCTCTGGAATGTCTCTCTCAAGTATGTGTTTAGAAGAACGCATGATTGTTGTAGGGCACTTCCAAATGTACCTACAGACTCAAGTGACCTCCTATCTCCCCATCACCCCAATGCCCTTTCTTCTGTATATTTTAAAGTGACAGACTCAATGGAAACTTTCCCCTTCCCAAATATTTAAAGCATTCCTGACAAAGTACCCTTTTCTACAAAGTGATTTAGTACTTTAACCTTGCCCCAGACACTCCGACATTTGTGTTTACTTTCTGGTGTAAAGCTTTGTCTCTCATATTTTATGAGGATGATGAAAGGAGATCCTGCTTGTCTGGGATTTTGTCTGTTCTTCCTCCATTTTCCTGGTTCCGTCGGTAGTGTGTACTCGTCTGTCCTGCGGTTGCTCTGATGACAGCGTACGCCGTTGTGCTTAGTGATCGTTTCAGTTTTACACACGGTGTACTGGGAGCAGAGGTGGGCAGGTAGGCCTCTGTGGGACCTCAGTCCACAAGGAAGGAAAGGACCTACCGGAGGAACTGGTTAATGAAGATACCATTCTCCCCTTTCTTGTCTGAAATAATGGCAGCCATTGCTTTATTCTCTTTCAAAGGAAAATGGCCAAAATGTAGAGGTGGATGAGACCTCTCATTTGACTATTGATTCTCCTTCTGTGCTCACTGCTAAAAGAAAAAAAAAAAAAAGCCTTGATGAATGTGTTCAGAAATTACAAATTATGAAGAAAATACTTTAATATTGTTTTTCATTTTTTAAATAATTTTTTTTTAAGAAAAAAGATACTAACTTTGTTTCCTGGAGTTTGTAGCCCTGTAGTTGCGGCTACTGGGTTGGATAACTTTCTCCATCCCTCTCTCCATGGAGGGGGAAGATATTTAAGCTTCATGTTTTATTTGCCACTTTGGTTTCTAGTGCTCTGCCTTGACCACTTAGCACTCTCTCTGAATAGCTATAGGTCGAGAATAGTGGGCAGGAACATCAGAGAAGAGTTGGCGTGAGAACGGAACAGCACCACAGAATAGAAGGCAAGAGGGAAGGAAAGCATCTCGAAAGAAGAAAATACAGCTGCCTCTTACCCCCAGCAGACACATCCGGCCTGTCGTGTTTACACCACTCACAGGAGTGGCTCGGCAGGGAGAGCTGAAGAATTGCAGGCTTCCATGGTGAAGTTCAAGCAATCATGGGAAAGAAAGTGGGCCCCTTCTGAGAGAAACTATTTCCAGCACAGGAAAGCCACAGTATTTTGAGATGTGATTTATACCCAAGAATGAAAAGGGGAGGGGGATAATTCAGTCAAGAACAGATGAGTCCATTTTTAACGTAGTCGAAGTTGGACTATCTCAATAAATGGATACTTAACACTGGGTTTCAAGAGAGTGGGCAAGGACAAAAGAGGCTAAGTTCATGAGCTAAAAGCAAAGTTAACCTCCTCATTTGTGGAGCTGCAGTTGGTTTTCTCAGAGGCAGAAAGTTCACTAAACTTAGGTAAGATCTGAGTTTGAATTCTCACTCCATTCCACTTGGTGTTAATTAAAACTTTAGATATTACTTAATTGTTTTTCAATTTGCCTTATGAGTTGTTAAAAACATGTCAGATACTAAGTGAATGCCTGTTATAAAAATTATAAATGATGTGGTTCAAATACAAATAAAATTATGAATTGAAAGACATGGCTTCAGTTCCCACCTAAGTTAATTACCTTTGTCTCCGTTTGGGGAATTTTAATCCAACCAGTTTTCTGCCCATCATAGACACTACTTTTTTCAGTACTTTGCCTTACTTGAAATATATTTATGTGAACAAGGTCACTACCTAAATATCAAACCACCACTGGAATCTGATAGTCATCATTATTTACTTTAAATAGTAAATAAAATAGTCTGATTCATTTTAACTGGATTATACTGTAATTGGCTTTCAGTGTCCTAATGAGATTGGAGAGTATAAAGAAGGAAGAAAAGTGAGGAAACAGCTAATGAAACAGGAGAGCCCTTACCATGATAGACAGCTTAATCTTCTGAGAGTTTGGTATCATTTCCACTTTTTTCCCAGCCCAAAGAGCACTGAGATGTGTTCTATTAGCTAGAGTTGTTAGGGAAACCTTAAAGTCATGCCCCCTTTTTACCTTAGTAGATTTCGAAGATGTCCTGGAAATGAGAGAATGAGATTTTTAACGTGAGATGAAGTATCCCAGACCTTGGAGGATAAAGGGCAAAGGGGTGCAAGAATGAGAAGACCCTTCCAAAATATTTTTTTTAATTTTTATTAAAATGAGAAGAAATTAAACAACAGAGAAACTATTTGAGAACTTCAGCTTTATAACTCAATGTCTCCTTTAAATGCAAATTAAAGAAAGATCAGCAGGTGATTGGAATAATAGCTTAAAGTTTACATTAAAAAAAACATCAAAAAAGATTCCCAAATACATTATGAAAAAAAAATCATAATTCCTTGAAAAACATTTAGTAGCAATTAATCTACTAAAACATTTAGTAGTGCAGTGCATGTCAAGTTAGTCAAGGTGACTAATTTGACATGAACTTGGATTATCCTGACAAAGATTTTAAGTAGGTTTTTAAGTTTTTTCTTTTATGAGTGAGAGAGAAAGACACCTCTGACAAGATCTCACCACACCATACTCCTCTGAGCCTTCTAGCTAGCCAAGACCATGGGCATGCCTATGAGCCCACTTTGCATGATTGGGTCAACTCAGGATCTAAACCTGCTCCTCCCCACCCCCCCCCCATATGGCTTTAGTATCATACAGTGCTGCCCTACTGCCTGTGCCACAGTGGCTGGGTAAAGTATTTCTTTATACACAGACACATACACGTGACTTATTTCTTACTTACATTCAAGCTTCCCCAACTACTAGTGAACTAGTAAAGAATTTAATTGCATTTCGAAACCATTAAGAGAGTAGTTTTTATTTGACCATTTGAAATCAGCTCTTAGGGCAGAAAATGGATGATGTGTATTTGCTGACGGCTGATACTGAGCCATTCTATGGCTTTTTCCCTTCACCTTTTGTGATGACCTGATTAAATTTGAAACCAAATTCTCAAATCATCTACAAAATCCCATTGCTGGGTGGGATAAGAGCAGGGAAGTATAGAAGGAAATGCTGTTCCCAATGTCTTACACTGAAGAATGCCCTGGACTGATTTCCTGAAAATCTCCTTCTGTTTGCCTTCACCAGGAATGGCGGCCCTAGATAGTAAGGCATCAGGGAAGATGGGAATGCGAGCTGTAGTCTATTACATGACTACCACCATCATTGCTGTGGTGATTGGCATAATCATTGTCATCATCATCCATCCTGGGAAGGGCACAAAGGAAAACATGCACAGAGAAGGCAAAATTGTACAAGTGACAGCTGCTGATGCCTTCTTGGACTTGATCAGGTATGTCCTTGCAAATCTGTCCTTTGGGGTATTTTTTGACCACCCAACTCCTCTTTTTATTAGGAAGCTAACCAAACCCTAGAAGAGGTATCTGAATAAATGAGCCTTACCAGGCTTGAAATGAGGTCACATCTTTACTTCTCTGAAGTAAAGGTCCATTTTCTGACCTCATGTGAAAGAAGCAAGAAGAGTCCAAAGAAGAGAGAGTCTTTGAGAGCCCAGCATTTAGGATTCAGAATCTGATCACTTGGTTCTTTCAACTACACAGTTCACCTTGGAATATTAAAAATTGTTAACATGTTTTTCTTAAGCTCTGATCTTTAAGGTTAGTTTTTATTTAACTATGGAACTTGTGATCTATATCATCATCCATTATATACCACAGTTTATTTCCTGAAGGAATTTTAAAGAATGTATCTAACAGGTCCAGCAGATGGCATAATGGTTATATTGCTGGACTTCCACGTAGTTGACTATGGTTCGAGTCCCAGACTCAGTGGCTTAAAACTCATGCTGGGCGTGTGTGCGTGTGTGCCCAAAATCTTGAAAGGAGATTGGAGGAGAAAGGATCGCGGCATAGTCATTGCGCCATAGGGTGATTTCTTGTTTTCTGTCTCTCTCTGTTTCTCTGATGAGTGTATGTGCCCTATAACAAAAAATCTCTCTCTAAAAAAAATACCTATCTCAAAGGTTTTCTTATGAGGATTTAGCACATCAGTAATAAAAGATTAAATGATGGCTTTAATATCATTTTATGTCCAAATCATATGCTTATTATTATATGAATGAGTCTTGTCCCCAATCCAACCCTTTGCTCCTATCTTTACGACTTACCTGCAAAGTAACCAGGTTGCCAGTCCTAGGTTCTCTTCTAAAGAGTTCCCATTGATCATCTGAAGGAATCTCTTCCTTCAGATGAAAGATCAGTTTCGCATACCATCTCAAGGGAGAGGATTCAAGAGAAATTTTGGGAGCAGAGGGTCACTTCAGCAGCTTCTCTCAATTCTTACCACAGATGACATCACGTATCACTCAAGACCACGGGGCTTGATCTTTAAAGCTCTTTTTCAGAGAGTTAATCACAATGATTTGAAGGTAATAAGCCACCCCACAGTGTTATTTTATTCCAAGTTGGTAACTAATAACTATGTGTTTATTTAGTTCATACAGTTAATTAAGGCTTTTCACCATTTTTCATTAATTTTATCCTCAGGTAGCTTAGATTAGGAGATGTTATTCTTTTTCCTTTTCTATAATTTCTCCTTCTTGTTTGAAGAACTGGTTGATCCACCAGAGTGCAATGTTTCTGCTCCTCCTTGCCCCAGTGACAAGTATATGAATATACCATCTCCACGTAGTCATTTGGCCTAAATCTTCAAATCTCATGAATGAACATTTTTATCAAGGTATATAAAAACAAACCTATAGAACATAGATGGGAAGGAAAAGAAACAGGGTGGTGTAGGTAATAGGAAGACAGAAACAAGAGTTTATAACTTTGATAAGAGTTTATGACTTTGATAACACACAATTGCTAGAATCTCAAGCTTGATATCACTGCCCTGGTCATGTCTCCTTTTTCCCATATTTCTCCATCTTGGATCCCTAACAATAGCCTAATCCAATTTCTTCTTTTTTTTTAAAGAATTATTTTATTCTATTTATTTATTTATTTTTAATTTGACTAGAGAGGGACAAAGTGAGAGAGAGACTGGGAACGTGAGAAAGGAAGCCTCCAGGTCCAGGACTTGAACCATGGTCGGTCATGTAGGAGTCCAGCACCCCTAACCCCCATGCCACCTGCTGGCCCCCAATTTCCTCTCTAACATATGAGTTAACTTAGCTATAAATGGGTTTCATGAGTTGGTCAAAAACACCCAGTATTGCCCTTCTTCTACCCTCACCACAATGAGCTAAACACTTGCTCTGATAATAGTCTCTGAGTAAGTGATAAACCCTGCCACATGGACCTCAAGTTCAAATGTTGAAGGTCATCTCTCCACTGGCCACCAGAGGGTCTCAGAAACTTAACAATTCAGTGCCAAGATCTCATTTCCAAGAAGCCCCTTGGAAGAATTTTTTGGAAGAAAAAATTCCACTGTCTAACCATGACTTTTGATAATAGTCAAAATAACCGTTATTGAATAATATCTCAGCCAGATGCAGATAATAGAAAACTTTTCCACTCTCACCACAATTCTTCCTAGGAGCAGGTTTTGATGATACAATAGCTGAATGAGCATTCCTGTTAGCTAACAAGAGAACAGATGAGTTGAATTTGAGATATCCCTAAAACATTAGGCCACACTTAGGAAGGACCATATGTTCCATTTCAAGTCATAAAATCCACCAAAATCTTTCTCTTTTTTCCATGTGCTTCTTGCTTCAATGCAATCTTTACTTTAGATAATATTTAAGAAACAAACTTATTATTTGGGAAATTTTTCAATGACTGTTATTTTCTTTGCAGGAACATGTTCCCTCCAAATTTGGTGGAAGCCTGCTTTAAACAGGTAAACATTCTATAGCCACAGTCAACTTGGAAATTCCTATTTAGCGTACCAAGCCAAGTGGGACCCTCTTTTTTTTTTTTCCCCCTTTCTCCCTTCACCATTCTCTGTAATAAGAAATGCTTCTTTTGCTAACTGGTGGAAAACACTGGGGTATTCTTGGAAATTTGAGGGGTGGATTGATTCTCACCTTGTATTGAAGGCTTATTAGTTGCCAGATACAGTGCACCTTGCATGCACATAGCTCAGAATCTCTGTTATTATTATAAAAGTTAATAAGGAGACACCCTCCCCTCCTCACTGTGCCCCACTTCCCACATACAAAAGCCCACCAAGCTAGCAAACTCTAATATAAAACACATTTACAATTTAAAGAAGATTAGAGAGATTATTCAGGTTTCTGGGTTTGATTTAAATATCAATGGACCGTTTTTTTGAGTCTACTAAGTGTCTTTGGATTCTAAAAGAAAACCATATCGGAAAGTACTGACATTAACATTTATGGAATGCCTGCAGTGTGCCAAACATCAGTATTATATATATTCCTCACATAAATATGATGAGTATCATTGTCTCCATTTCACTGATGAGGCAACTCGTCTGTAGGAACTCAGGGGGATTATGTAACAGCCACAGGTTCTCACAAGTAGTAAATGCCACACCCAGAATTTCAAATCCATTGTGGTGACTCCAAGTTCTATCTTGCTCTACTACTCCATTTCTGCTTCCTAGGAAGGGATATGGAGGGTGATAAGACACATACCCACCTGGAGGCTATAGCAAATTTCAGTTCTTTTACTTTCAAATCCTAGCAATACTCATTTTATCTCTGTTGTTGTTATAAATACATTTTACTATTAGGGGATAAAAATCAATAAAGTTAATTCTTACTTCACTTGAATATAAACACTTTGTTGCCCAAAATATTCTGGATTGAAAAAAAAGAAAGAAAGAAAGAAAAGAAAAGTTCCCAAACCTTTCTGTAGATGCAAATTCACTCCTGTTGTAGAGAATTAGGATCTGTAAAACAAATAAAACATAACCCCAACCTCATAGAAGACTGTGTTTTACACATATAAGTTCCTCTTTAAATATTTATATTAAGAATTTTTTTAGCCACCTGGTTGACTGTGGGTTCAGCTTCCTGGCCAATTCAACCTGAAACAAACCAGGTATGTGCCCTATTGACCAAGATCCTGACAAGCTAGAACCTGGACATGATGGAGGAAAGGGATCGCTGTGTGTGAAGACCCTGCCTTTCTTTTTTTTTGAGAAGCTTTTGCTATGGGGTGCATGTGCTCTCCAGAAAGAGAGAGACAGAAAGTGAGAAATCAACCCTCGGGGGGATGGCCACACCGCAATCCCAATCCCTTCTCTATTTTCCTCTCTTGATCTTGGGCACACACACACACACACACCTGGTGTTTAAGTCACCAGGTCCAGGATTCAAACTGCAGTTGACCACATGGGAGCCCAGTGACATAGCCATTATGCCAACTACTGTTCCCAAGACCCTGCTTTTCTCTCTCTCTTTCTCTCTCTAAAATGCTGTCTATCATAACTAAAAATGTAAATGAAACTTTTTTAAAAAAAGTATTTTTAGCAGGGTATGCATGCACACATTGCAAAATTCAAACAGAATACTTTCTTTAAAAAAAAAAAAAGAGGAAGAAGAAGAAGCCAGACCAGCAGTTAGCGTAATGACTATGTTGCTGAACTCCCATGTAGTCAACCGTGGTTCAAGTCCCGGACCCATTGGCTTAAACTCACTCTGGGCACATGTGCATGTGTGCCCAAGATCCCTAGAGAATGGAGGAGAAAGGATTGTAGTGTGGCCATCCCCTTGGGGAGTGATTTTTCGCTTTCTGTTTCTCTGTCTCTGTCTTCTTTCTGGCAAGCGCACGCACCCTATAGCAAAAACCTCTCCAAAAAAAAAAAAAAAAAAGCCTAAGGGGTTAAAATCTAACCTTCTTTGTTCAAAAACAACTGTAACCATAAATAATAAACTCCTTTCAATCTGACCAGCCAACTCCAGCACCAGGGGGCTGTTCAGTTAGTCAGCTGGCACTGGGTGATATCAAAAATGCTGATTTCCAGATCTTTTAGATGGGAAGAGTGCTGACTCATACAGATTTATTGTGTTTGGTTTGGGATTGCATTTACAGGATTTCGAAGAGGAAGCAAATGCATCTCCCCAGATCTGTTTGACTTAGACCAGAATGCAAATGAGGCTGCAGTTTCTGTGTAAGCTACAAGCTGTGTCTAAGAAAAAAGAGTTGGAGGCATAGAAAAGACTGGTCAGGATTGAAAATCTACCCTGGGTAGTCCATAAAATGCATATTTATCTAATGGAATAAAGATTTGACTGAAACAGGAAATGGATAGGGGCCAGTTTCTTTGTTGCTTGAAATTACCAGGAGACTTAGCTGTTGAGAGATGTGTCTACAGGCCTGATTGCTGGTCATGTCCTTGTTTGAAAAGAGTGGTTTACCAATGGACAAGAAAGTCTCTCCTTTACTCTTGGTTAAGAAATAACCGAGGACTTCACACACAACCGTGTTTTCTTCCCCTAGACACTTAGATCCCATCAGATCCACACATTTTTACTGTCATCGTTGCTTCCCTACCAGCATCATCAAGGCCAAGAATTCAATTCCCATTAAATCATAGAGGGATGGGCTTAAATGTTTCCTATGCTCACACTAATGTACTCAGCATCTCAGTACGGGGCATATATGCAGAAGCTGTGGGGAAAAAAGCCTCTCTTAAGTTAGAAGAAAAATGTCAGTAAGGACTTAGAAGAAGTGAGTTGTCATCACCAACTAGTAACCAAGTACCTATTCTTAGGAACTGACATCAGGAATGGCTTGGAAACTGGTCATTGAGGGATTTAAAATTTTTAATATCCACTGGAATTTCCAACTAAGTCTAATCCATGAAGGCCTTCATCACTAAGTACCATTAACCAACACTAGGATAGTACTTTGAAATGTTCGAGATGTTCTCATATATTCTGTTTCATTTAGTCACTGCAACAACCCTGTGAGACAGAACCAACACCCGTGTTTCACAGCTGTGGATTATGAGAGAAAGGATGTTATATGATTTGTCCATGATCTCATAGCATGATCCCAAAGAAAGTAAATTATGGACAAATGATATTTGGGTTTATGGGGTTTTTTAAAATCCCATTATAGTCATTTTATTAGGATTTCAGAAGAAAGCAAAAGCATATGTGTGAATTTAGTCCAACATTGTTAACCAGATATCTCTTTCTCCTATTATGATTTGTTATGCATTTGAGAGAGAGAGAATGTGTGTGTGTGTGTGTGTGTACACGCACATGTGTACGTGTTTTGATTTATATGTACTTGAGTGTGTGTGTGCTTCTGTCTGTGTTGAGGAAGTAGTAGGGTTTGCCACAGGTTAGATAGATGGTGGATAGATAGATAGATAAACCTCCCCTAATGCTATTCTTTGAATTCAAAGTAATGTATATCCTTATGAAAAGCTTGGATAACAGGAAAATATAAAGGGGGGGGAAAATCACCTTTAATATTTGTTATGCTTTTTATTTTTAAGTTTAAAACCAACTATGAGAAGAGAAGCTTTAAAGTGCCCATCCAGCCCAATGAAACGCTCGTGGGTGCCGTGATAAACAATGTGTCAGAGGCCATGGAGACGCTTACACGGATCACAGAGGAGCTGGTCCCAGTTGCAGGATCTGTGAATGGGGTCAATGCCCTAGGACTAGTTGTCTTCTCCATGTGCTTCGGTTTTGTGATTGGAAACATGAAGGAGCAGGGACAAGCCCTGAGAGAGTTCTTTGATTCTCTTAATGAAGCCATCATGAGACTGGTAGCTGTGATAATGTGGTATGTATTCCCATTTGTTGTCTACACTAAATACAAGATGCTTATTGCCATCAACATGTGTTCTGTCTGAGGAAGATGCCACCAAAGATTGCAATGATCTCACTAGTAAACAAAGGAAAAGTGATGAATTTCTGGAAGCCTCTCTTATGAAGTTTGCTTCCTTGTTTTCAAAAGGCATCAGCTCCTTTACCCCAGTGCTGATGGAATCCCTTTTCTCATTCATCTATCTATTCATCATTCATTTAAGATATATTTATTGTGTGTCTACTCTATACCAAGCATATAGTGCCAGACACTGGATAAAGCAATGAAGAAAACATACCAGGATATCTTAGATCTTACATTCTTCTAAGGAAGACAGACAATAAACAAATGAATCAACCATATGCTTTAGTCACAAATGCTAATGAAGAGGCAAAATAAGACAAAAACAAAACAGCAGGTGACTGAGGGAAGATGCCAAATTAGCCTTGGATGGTGGAGAAAGGTCTCTGAAAAGGTGACATTTTTTGGTAAGACCTGAGTGTCATACAAAAGCACTGGGAGAAGAGCCTTCCCAGTGGAGGGAAATATAAATGCAGAGCCCCTAGACCCTAAGAAAAACCGAGATTTCCCCTCTCGTTTCAACCCTTAGAGAAAATGTAAATAGTCAATATCTGAAGGACTCATGGGAAGTACTATAGAACGCCAAGCCACAGTTTACACAAAACTTCCTTTAATAAAGTTGAGAGTAGGAGACAAAGGAAAAGACTAACTCCACAGAGGAACGCTGACCTTGGGAAATAAACGCTACCCAGCAGGGAGAGAGCTCTTGATTGGTTTAGGCCTCCTGAGAGAGTTGGTTTTCTTTTATCCTTTATTTTTAATCCAGAGTCCTCTTTGGCACCTGAGGCCAGGAGACATCCATTTGCTAAGAAAACCTCTCACTCACCCACATGATTAAAAATGTCTTTTGTCTTTAATGCCAGCAAAGCCCAGAGAAATCCATTTTTTAAAAAGTTTGTACAAGATGGATATGAACTTAGGTACAAAGACAGATCAGAATGTAGTCTCCCCAGGAGCCCCCAATCTGAAGGCTCCTTTGAAATCCTGGCAGGGCTGAAAGTGGACATTTATCTTCGTATTACTAAAACGCCTCCACCTTTCACCTCTTTTATGAAAGAAGCCCATTCAAGGCCACTGAATGAACCTCACACGGAGCGTTTCTAGCTGTACATTTGCCTGCACGTTCAACATTGAGTTATTACAGTTCTGCAAACAGGTACTCCTATGATTTCCTGGCCGGAGTTTTTAAAGGACTTTTGAAAGAAGCATTGTATTGTTCAGTGTGAAATAAGTCCTCCACAGTTCCCAACAGACCCTTCTTCTTAAGGGTGATTGACTTCTCTGTTTTTGGCAATGTGAGTTTGGTTACGGTTTACTGCACACGTCGGACAAACGAATTTAAAAGCCAGGCAGCGGGACCCTTTAATCAACCACGGTTATTTCAATATTTATAAGTCATGTTGCATTTCAGATGTTCATTCTCACAGTCTTCAGGGCAAAGCTCACAAATAGCAGTAGTGGCCTGTGAGTTATAATTAGGTAATTACAACACCTATAACTGAATTGTGGTAGTACACACATCCACATTAGTAACCGTAATAGCTCTGAATTTGTTTTATGGTCACCTTCTATTTATGGCAAGTAGTACTAGTTTTCCATGTGCACCATAACGTACAATTTTCTCTTAAAGTAAGTTGACTTAAGTAGGAAAGTAAGAATACAGCCAGTCGGTGATGTGGTGGTAAAGGCAGCTGGACCCAGCAAGGCCAACTGCACAGTTCAAGTCCCAGACTTGGGAATCAACTAATCTCTCCCTTTTTCGGATCCCTTGGTAATTAATGTGGACTAGTTTGTTGGAGACTAGACTTCTAATTGGGAGCGTGTTGCTTCTCCACAGGTATGCCCCTCTGGGCATCCTCTTCCTGATTGCAGGGAAAATTGTTGAGATGGAAGACATGGGAGTGATTGGAGGGCAGCTTGCCATGTACACGGTGACCGTCATTGTCGGCCTACTCATTCACGCAGTCATCGTCCTGCCGCTCCTCTACTTCCTGGTGACACGGAAAAACCCTTGGGTTTTTATTGGCGGGTTGCTGCAAGCCCTCATCACAGCTCTGGGGACCTCTTCAAGGTAAGGACACATATGTGGCTCACTCCCACAGGAAATGTGACTGGCACTTTGCTTTGAACCAGACACCCTTAGACTGGGGGTAGGAGAGGCATTTTGCTCTGGGTTTTAAACTTCCAGAATAATGCATTGGCTTGTTTTCTGCTGATTAGATCTATTTGGGTTTCAGGGAATAGCTGGCTATATATATTTTGGGGGGAAAAATGGGAATCAATTGTCCTTTCCTACCCACTATCATCTTCCTCTCTCAGTTGGCAGTTGCCCAAGGGAGAAGTGGCAGGTCAGCTTGGCACAGGCTGTTGTGACACGGGAATAATCACAAGTGATGCCTCACAGAGGAAACTAGAAGCAGGAGAGCTGCCAAATGACCCCGTGAGGGGACTACACTGTTCCTAATCCCACTCCCCCATTTACACAAGTGCTGACTTAGTTCCCTTTAAGTTAGGACACGGAACAGGAAGGAACTGTCTGTCCAAAGGATCAAACACATAAACACGGTCAGAACTCCCAGGACCCTCAGCTGAGATGCCCTATCTTACTGTTTTCAGTTCTGCCACCCTACCCATCACCTTCAAGTGCCTGGAAGAGAACAATGGTGTGGACAAGCGAGTCACCAGATTCGTGCTCCCCGTAGGGGCCACCATTAACATGGATGGGACTGCCCTCTATGAAGCATTGGCTGCCATTTTCATCGCTCAAGTTAACAACTTTGACCTGAATTTTGGACAGATTATTACAATCAGGTACAAGGAAAAAAAAAATGTATACAACAATTGCTAAAGAAGGACTTTAAAAGACCAAAGAGTGGGCTAGGAGGTGATGTGGAGGTTAAGGTACTGGATCCCTCATGGCCAACTACACAATTCAAGTCCTGGACCCAGTATCTTGGGGATCATGCTGGGTGCATGTGCGTGCATGCCCAAAATCCCAAGAAGAGACTGGAGGAGAAGGGATTGCAGCAAGACCGTTCCCCCTGGAAGGTGATTTCTCACTTTCCCTCTTTCTGTCTCTCTCTGCGGGCACATGTGCCCTAATAGCTAAAAATAAGACAAGAGGGTGATGAAGGTTGAGTGAGGAAACAGTTGAGAAGGGGGAAATCACACATAAACAGGAGGCTGAGGTTTGGGGAATCATTTTATTTTATTTATTTTTTTTTTTTTTTGAGAGATTTTCACTGTAGGGCGCACGCGCTCGCTAGACAGACAGAGAGAGACATAGAGACAGAAAGCGAGAAATCACCCCCCAGGGGGGATGGTCACGCCACAATCCCTTCTCCTCCATTCTCCTCTCGGGATCTTGGGCACGCACGCACA